TGTCTTCCTTGATAATTTTTTTTAGTTAATTTATTTATTTGACAGAGAGAGAGAGACAGCGAGAGGGAACACCAGCAGGAGGAGTGGGAGAGGGAGAAGCAGGCTTCCCGCGGAGCAGGGAGCAGATGTGGGGCTCGATCCCAGGACTCTGGGATGATGACCTGAGCCGAAGGCAGACGCTTAACGACTGAGCCACCCAGGCGCCCCTTCCTTGATAATTTAGACAATTACCGGTCCCTCCTGGAGTTAGCCATGATACCATTTGGTGTATATCCTTGCCAGCTTTTGCCGTCTTGCCTTATATTACGTGTGTGTGTTATATATACAGTTATATATATTTAACTGTTGACAAGTTTTTTTTTTCAGGTTTGTTAGTCTTATTTTTTTGGTAATAGTTTTATTTAGATGTAATCCACATACCATACAGTTAGTTCATTTAGGGTATGCAGTTCAGTGACTTATAGTATATGCACAGAGTTGAGCAGTCACCATGTCTGTCTAATTCTGGATCCTTTCATCATTCTCCCAAGAAACCCTGTCCCCGTGAGCCGTTACCTCCCAGCCCTATTCTCTAGCCCGTGGCAAAAACAGATCTACTTCCTGTTCATGGATGAGCCTGTTCTGGAGATGTGTCACACACGTGGACTCACACCCGTGGGGCCTTCTGTGTCTGGTTCCCTCCCTGAGCATCATGGCCTCAGGGTCAGTCCACGTAGCGTGTGTCAGGGCTACACTTCTTTTTAAGGCTGAATAACAATCTGCTGTGTAGACGGAGCACGTGTGTTTACCCATTCATCCGTTGACAGACCTTTGGGTTGCTTCCACCTTTGGGTGACTGTGAGTCACGCTGCCGTGAACATTTGTGAACAAATGTTTGTGTGGATGTATGTTTTTGTTTCTCTTGGGCAGAGACCGTGGGTCCCATGTTAACTGTGTTTAACCATTCGAGGAACCACCAGACTGTCTTCCGCGGTGGCGGCCCCATTGTCCATGCCCACCAGTGGTGCCCAAGGGGTCCATTTCTCCCCATCCTCCCCAACCCCTGTTCTTGCCTTTCTGACGCTAGTCATCCTGCTGGGGGCGCGATGCTACCTCACTGTGGGTTTGATCTGTGTTTCCCCAATGACTCATGATGTGGAGCATCTTTCCGTGTGCCCCTCGGTCATCTGAGTATCACCTTGGGAGAAGCGTCTTTACTTGAGCGAGCTTTTCATTTTGAAGGGATTTGGGGAAGAGGTGTGCAGATGGCACACGGAGCCCCCCATAGCTCCCCCCTCGTGCACGCTCTCAGCCTGGCTTCTTCGTTTGCCTTCGCCCCAAGGAACCTTGTGGGGGTTCTTGTGTCCCAATTGCCCTTCCATGTGAAATTCTTTCTGGCAGGAGGCTATTTTTTTAAATGTTTAGTTGTGAATTAATTATAGACTCACAGGATGTTGCAGAAATGGGGCAGAGCCTGCTGTACCCATCACCCAGCTTCCCGCATTGGCATCTCTCACAACAGTGATCGAAGCCAGCACATTGATACTGATCAGCACCCCCACGAAGATTTAATACCACAGAGGCATCAGTGTGTCGGGGCTGCCACGGACCCTGTGGACGGGGAGGCTCACACCACAGAGCTCGGTTCTCTCCGAGACCTGGAGCTGGAGGCCTGAGATTAAGGTGTCGACAGGGCTGATTTCATTCTGAAGCCTTTCTCCTTGGTGGTAGACAGCTGTCTCCTCTCTGCGCCCTCACATGGTCTTCTCTGTGTGTGTCTGTGTCCCAGTGCTCTCTTCTTTTCTTATTTTTTTATTTATTTATTTGAGAGACACAGAGAGAGTGAGAAAGAGCACCAGCAGGAAGGAGGGGGACAAGCAGGCTTCCCGCTGAGCAGGGAGCCCGATGTGGGGCTTGATCCCAGGACCCCGGGATCATGACCTGAGCCGAAGGCAGATGCTTAACGACTGAGCCACCCAGGCTCCCCCCACCCAGTCCTCTCTTCTTATAAGGACACGGGTTTTATGGGACCAGGGCCCATTCCTAATGACCTCATTTTGACTTAATTACCTCTTTAAGAGCCCTATCTTGAAATACAGTCACCTTCTGAGGTCCTGTGGTTGGGACTTGAAGGTATGAATTTGGAGGGGACACCGTATAGCCCGTAACAAAAATTACATGTACACAGACTTACGTTGGAGGTACTGCAGGTTCGGTTCCAGACCACTGACAGTAAAGCGAGTTGTGTGCATTTCGGGTTTCCCAGGGTTCATAAAAGTTATGTTTACACCGTCCTGGAGTCCATTAGGTGTGCGGTAGCGTGATGTCTAAAAATATCATGTACGTGCCTTAATTTAAAAATACCTTCTTGCTAATAAATGCAAACCATCATCTGAGCTTTCTGCAAGGCATCATCACCAACCACCGATCTCCATAACAACCACAGTAATGAGCTTGTGAGATCGCCGTGGCACAGAGACACGAAGTGAGCAAACGCCGTGGGAGGAATGGCCCCGCAGACTTGCTGGATGCGGGGTTGTCACAGACCTTTGATACCAAACAATGCATTATGTGTAGGTGTGCGTGTATCCACCTTTGTACTGAACACGCATCTGTGCCTTATACATAAAAAGAGCACTTTTTCTGACCTCCCCTCCCCACCCCAAGAACTGATTTGCAGTACCCCAGGGTTAACACCGCCTTACCCCTTACTGGGAATGCTTCTCCTCATGTCATCAACACCTACTGTGGGGCGTTGATCGCAACCAAGATGCGACCCGGAACGTGGACAGGAGGGGGCGGGTGGTATCAGGTCTCGGTTCAGCAGGATGAGTCAGCGATAGGGCGTCATGCACCTAAAATGGGTCATGAGGATAAATCTCATGTTGGGTGTTCCTACCACACACTAAAAAAAAAAAAAAAAAAAAGCATCAGCCAACCAAGAGATTAATGCTGGTTCTGTTCTATTAACTACATGGCAGACTTTTTCAGATTTCCCCAGATTTCCCACTACCATCTTCCTTCTGGCCCAGGAAACCCATCCAGGGTCCTGCAGGACATTTTGTCACCTTGCCTTTCTTTTTCTTCTTGGGCTCCTCCAGTCTGTGACTGTTTCTCGCACTTTCCTTGTCTTTCATGACCTTGGTGCTTTTGAAGAGCACTGGCCAGGTGTTTGTAGAAGGTCCCATGGGCTGAGTTTGTCTGATGTTTCCTCACGATTACACTGGGGTTATGGTTTTGGGGGAGGGTACCCCAGTGGTGTCATGTCACATCTGGGGATATCTGCAGTCCAGTCCTCGGCGCCGGTGACTCCAGCCTTGATCACCTGGCTCGGGTGGGGTCTGACAGGTTTCTCCGGGAATAAGGTTGCCGTGTCTCCCTTGATCTGCTGTGTTTATTGGAAGCAAGTCACCGAGTCAACCCACATGGAAAGCAGGGGTCTGGGGAGGCGAAGCTCCACCTCCTGGAGGAGAAACATGGAAGGGTTTACACGTGTTAAAACCAGGGTGCTAATTAACATATTTTGGAGGCATGACCAATGTCCCGCCTCTCCTTGGGGTCTCCCCAGTAACGAAGTGTGTGCATCGGTGGGTCTTGTCTGCAGGGATGGTTACTGGGGTGTTCCTGTGGTTATTTTCTGTTAATGCGGGGCGGGGGGGGCAGTGATTTTTTTGAAGTTTTCATCCAGGAATCCAGATCAAGCCCTTCACAAGTGTCCATTCATTCCTCATGAGTCTGCATGAGAGTTTAGAGTTTACACATGGATGACAGCACCCAGAGCAGGCAGGTCGCTCACCTGTGGTGAGTGGGGACAGAGTGGGGACTGCTTCGGGATGCCGTCACTGAGGGTCAGAGCCAGATACTCGTTAGCGTGCTGGAAACAGTCTGCTCAGGCCCTGTGGCAGTGGGGAGAGACCTCCCAGTGGACCGGGGCTCAATCCCTGATGCAGCGTGGACAAGCCGGGGTATGTGGCAACGGAGTAGGAGGGGGTCAGCGGACGGGCACTTGCCAAGAGGGCACATCAGGGGGACTCTGGCTAAACAGAGCTGATGGGGCTGCTGCTGCAGGCAGGCTGGGTGATCCCCACGCCACCTGGCCGGGGGATGGGGGAACCGGCCAGCTCTCCGGGGGATCAGACACAGGGCAGGGGCTCTTGCTAAAACTGGGTAATGCAGAACTAAACTCAGAAGCTCAGAGGTCAAGGCCTGGCTGAAAGGAGGGTTCAGAGTGGCCCAACTAAAGTTGGGTCAGGGAATGAGTCCAGGAAGCCAGCTGGGCTGTGGGAAGGCAGACATGAATCTGAGACATGCCTGGGGTGGGGGCGCCTGTGGGCTCTGAACTGAGCCTTCCAGAGTTTGAGCCTGGGTGGTCCTACTAAGTTGAATGGTGTTCCCCACAAAATTCATGTCCACCCGGAACCTTAGAATGTGAGCTTATTTGGAAATAGGATCTTTGCAGATGGTGTTAGTGAAGTCGAGGTCATATTGGAGTAGGCCGGCCTAATCCAATGACTTGGTGTCCTCATAAGAAGAGAGACACAGATTCGGGAGACAGCCACGTGACCATGGAGGCAGAGACTGGAGGGACGTGGCCACGAGCCCAGGGCCAGCTGGAGTGCCCAGAACCTGGAAGAGGCAGGAAGGGCCCTCTTCTGAAGCTGCTGGAGGGGGGTGCGGACCTGAGACCTTGATCTGACTTGTGGCCTCCAGAATGTGAGAGTAAGTCTCTGCGGTCTTAAGCCTCCCAGCTTGTGGTCGTCTGTTTCAGTGGCCCCAGGACATTCACACAGACTGCTTTGCAATGGAGTGGGTGCGTTCCATAAGCTTCCGAGACCTTCAGTCTCTCCGTCTGAGCCTGGGTTAAGGAGCCGTTAAGGCCCATGGCCTCTGTCCTGGCTTCTGTTGACCGAACTGTTGGGGGGGACATCTGGATTGGTTGCAGAGGTCTCCGGGTCCAGGATTTGGGGACTAGGGACAGGTCTGGGCCTGGGCTTCACGGTCCCTTCTCCCACAGCTCTGCCTGCCTTGGAAACTGCTCCCAAGAGAGGAGAATGGCTGCTGGCTACCTGCCCCCATGGCCCCAGGTGAGTGGGGACTTCCTCTGGCGCTGAAGATGCCCAGTGTGTCAGGGGAAGTGCTCCTACCAGACTTGCATTCCTTGCTACGTGGGAACCGAGGGAGCACTGCCCATGAGCATCTGGGTCCGAGTACCCCTGCTTCTTGGATGTCTAAGGAAAGGCATACACTGGATTTGGCACACCTTTCCCCACAGGAGAGCTGTGCTTCCTTCCTGGGCTGGGAGCGTGTCCTTGTGGCCTGAAGACCGCATGCTTCCCCCATGGCGGGAAGAGCTACGCCATCCTTATTTAAAAATAATTTTCAAAATTGTAGTCAAATACACACAACATGAAATTCACCATCGTAACCACTTTCAGTACATAGCTCGCGGCATGAAGCACACTCATACGGTCCTGCAACCACCCCCACCCTCCGTCTCCAGAACGTTCCATCTCCCCACACAGAGACTCTGTCCCCATGAAGCACGGACTCCCCACCCCCTGCCCCAGCCCTGGCTCCCACCCTCTCCTCTCTGTCTCTGTGGACGGGACTCCTCTGGGGACGTCCTGGGAGTGGGGTCCTGCGGGATGTGTCCTTCTGGGTCTGGCTCCTCTCACTGAGCCCAGTGTCCTTGGGGTCCCTCCACATCATGGCAGGTGTCAGGGTCCCTTCCTTCTGAAGCCTGGGGACAGCTGCATTTGGTGGGAAGCTGCCTTCTGGGGCATGAGCATCAGGAGAGAGGTGGGGAGCAGAAGCCACCATCAGCTGGGACAGCAGATCTGTGGAGAGCGGTAGGCGGGGTCCCTGTCCCCTAACTCACAGCTTTGGGAACGTGATCAGTGTCTGCATCAGAAATACAGAGGTGACCAACAGCTCGAGTTCAGGTGGTCCCTCAGAGAACAAGCCCTTTCCTGGGGTCATTTCTGAGTGACCCAGATGTCCAGTCAGTATCTGTGATGTTGTCCTATTTGGGGCCCCCTGGAGAGAGGTCTTCAATCCGCTCTGGCCCCCGCATCAAAGTCCTGGTCATCGCAGGCACACCTGCTTCAGGCCTGACACAGCCCTTGGGGACACTGTGAGGTTTCAGCTGGGCCCAGGACCTGTGAGGTCAGGGTTCCAAACAAAGCCAGCGGCTTGTCCCTCAGCAGCGGCAAAGCTGAGATGCCACAGGGCCGGGCAGTGGCCCTTCCTTTCTTGTCTGTCTTCATGTGCACATAAATGGAGCCACTCAGATCGAGGCAGTCAGGCTGGAGGGTCCTCATCTCTCCAGGCCACATGGGATCACGAGCCCCTTAGGGGCTCAGACCTGAGTCTTTAAAACCCCAACATCATTTCTCCATCTGGGGATCGCCTCTCTCTTCATGCTGTTTTCCAATAGGTATAAGTCATAAAAATCATGAGTCATGGAGACTTGGTTTTAGTATTTAAAGAGTGTACATTTTAACCTGCTCACCAGGCAGCAAAAAACAAAAAACTTGTGTCCCACTGAGACTTTTTCCCCAGTCTTCCCTCACTGAGATGATCCATTATGGAATTATAATAATATAATTATATATATATTTGCTTATTATTATTTTAAACAAATAATATTTATTTATTATAAATATTAAATATAAATATGTTTTTATATTTAATAAATATGAAGTGATATTTCACACTCATTTTTAATTGTACATCCATATGTAATAGTCACGAAGTTCAAAGCCATTAAAATTGTTTTCCTTTTTATTCAATTGCAGATTTACTCAAAGCCTTGCAGTGAGTTCAGCAGTTGCAGGGTTAACCCTAGAGCTCCTTGGGAAGAAGGCAGCAGGAATGTGAGGGGGCCTGGGGAAGGTTGCAGCAGCGGCTGCTGGCCTGGAAAAAAGCCTGTTTTTTCCTACTTTATCTAAAATTTTTTTAAAAAATATTTTATTTATTTGAGAGAGGGCGAGAGTGTGAGCAGGGGAGGAGCAGAGGGAAAGGGAGACAATCTCCAGCAGACTCCACACAGAGCAGGGAGCCCAGCACCCTGGGATCATGACCTGAGCCGAAATCGAGAGCTGGACACTTGACTGACTGAGCCACCCAGCCGTCCCCACTTTAAAATTTTGTGGCAGCCCTGGGTGCTTTTTTCTTCTGGGTGGGAGAAACACAGAAACTTTTAATTTTGGGGCGCCTGGGTGGCTCAGTCGATGAAGCATCTGCCTTCAGCTCAGGTCATGATCCCAGGGCCATGGGATCGAGTCCTGCATCAGGCTCCCTGCTCGGCGGGAAGCCTGCTTCTCCCTCTCCCTCTGTCTGCCGCTCCCCCTGCTTGTGCGCATTCTCTCTCTGACAATCAATCAAGCAATCAATCAGTCTTTACAACAACAACCGCAAATGGGCCGCATGTGCCCCTCCGGCCATCCTGCACTGGCAGTCTGACCTCTGGGCTGCGCACCCGCTCCATGTGAACCACCTCCCTCTGTGCTCCTCCTGTGACCGCGGATGGGGGGCGGGGGCGTGCCTGAGCAGAACCGATGTGATGTTTCAGGAGTTAGTGACCTTGGAGGATGTGGCTGTGGACTTCTCCCGGGAGGAGTGGGCGATGCTGGATTCTGCGCAGAGGAGGCTCTACAGAGAGGTGATGCTGGACACCTGCGCGAACCTGGCCGCCCTGGGTAAGACCAGCCGCGCGCATCCACCCGCTCCTCCGTTCACGCTCACTCAGCGTCTACACTGCGTCCAGAGCTGGGTTAGGAAGTGGGCATTGTGGGGTGAATACGGCGGCCGTGGTTCCTGCCCCTGTGGGGCGCATGGTGCACTGGGCTCTTCAACGCAGAGAATGGCCTGATTTCTTCGCTGTATGATTGCCCAAGCTGCTGTTGAGACGCACCTCGCACCTTAGTCTGAGATAACGTCCCTGAGTCCTCTTGGCTACAGAGTCACCATTAAAAAATTTTTTTGTTGTAGAATACATGTAACGTAAAATTTGCCTTCTTAATCCATTTTTTAGGTATACAATTCAGAGGCAGTAATTACATTCAAAATGTTTTAGGACCATCAGCGCTGTTTCCAAAACCTTTTCATCACCTCAGAGAGAAACCCTATACTCACTAAGCACGGACTCCCCACCCCCACCCTCCGTCTCCAGAACGTTCCATCTCCCCACACGGAGACTCTATCCCCATGAAGCACGGACTCCCCACCCCCTGCCCCAGCCCCGGCTCCCACCCTCTCCTCTCTGTCTGTGTGGACGGGACTCCTCTGGGGACCTCCTGGGAGTGGGGTCCTGCGGGCTGTGTCCTTCTGGGTCTGGCTCCTCTTGCTGAGCCCAGTGTCCTTGGGGTCCCTCCACATCGTGGCAGGGGTTGGGGAGAGCCTTTACATACAACTCAACCCTCACACGTGCAGTGACTGTGGGAAAGCCTTCAACAGAATTTCATTACTTTTTATGGCTAAATAATATTCCACTGTTTGGATGGACCACATTTTATTTATCCACTTGTCCATAGATGGACACTTGGGTTGTTTCGACTTTTCAGTCGCTGTGAATGTGGGTGTGCAAATAGTACTTCGCTTCCCTGCTTTCAGCAACCTTGGGTCCATACCCAGGAGTGGAATTGCTAGGTCCAACAGTAATTCTATGTTTACCTTTTTGAGGAACCACCAAGCTGGTTTTCACAGCACCATCTTAACAGCCATGCACAAGGATTCTGATTTTTCCACATCCTCTCTAAGACTTATTTTCTGCTTTTGCTTTTTTAAAAAAAAATCATACCCATCCTACTAGGTATGAAGTGATGTCTCACTGTGGTTTTGATTTGCATTTCCCTAATGGCTAATGACATTGAACATCTTTTCATGTGCTTGGTGGCCATTTGTAGATCTTTCTTGGGGAAATGTAAGATCCACAGGTTTTTAATTAGGAAAATAAAATCTCCAGCTTGGTCAACATGCCACCTCTCCAGTGTATTCTTATCTCTTTCAGGAGCCTTGAAGAACCAAAGTTCTGATATAGGCATTGACGATGGCACACTTTCCCCAACACAAGCCTCTCCGGCCACCAGTCCTTCCCCATGGGTGGGGTGTCCACTCTTTTTACCAGTGGTGCCTTCCCACTTGGAGCCAGGAGAAGCCATGTGGATGGGGCCACAAGGGACTCCCCAAACCTCCTGTTCAGGTGAGAGCCAGGCAGATACAAGCCATTGAGTGGGGGTGGCATCTTGGGGACTGCAAGTCAGAGATCTCTCCACAGAGGCCCGAGCTTTATAAGGAGAAGGTTGAGGTCTTTGGTTGCTCTTTCTCAGGTACCTTCGGTTCATCTCCGGCAACCTTACCCTATGCACTGGCTTCTACCACCCGCTGTGGGTGCAGAGAAAAGATATCCCATTTCTTTCTTGAAGCTATTCTACCTGTAGTTCTTGTTGCTTCTCTTTCCCGTCTGCTTTCTTGATGATTCTTTCTCTCTGCCATTGTCCTTCTCCCTCCTTTGTAGAGCCATTCCTTCTATATGTACATTTTTTTCTCCCATTTTTCATCATTGTCCAGCTTCTTACACTGCTTCCTGTCCTTAGGATCTTTTCCTGTTTTCCCCCGTGTTGAGGGCTGATATTTGAACATGAACTCACATGTGCCTTGTGTATGTTGGAAGTACTTTTGTCCCACTATTATTAAGTTAAATGTTTCTCCCCCCCACCCCCTTAATTTATTTCAGATTTGGAGACTAGTCTGAAAAGCCAAGAGTCAATTTATAAGAAGGTGGTTTTGGAGGAAGAACCAGCCAGTGGTATGAATATCATAAAGCTCCCCAGAGAACACTGGGCATGTGGTCAGCTGGAGGAGAACCATGAAGACTCCCACGGGCATTTGAGGCAAATGGCATATACCCAAGCAGAGGCATTTGCTCCAAAGGAGACCACTGCCGGGCGTGAGTTTGGGGAAACCTGTAGTATGAACTCAGACCTTGCTTTATCACAAGGAGGTTTTGTAGGAAAACATTTCCATGACTGTGATCTTGATATTGAGAGTTTGGTAGCTGATCTGTTCTTAAAACATCATCAGATGGGATACTCAGACCAGAGGCCCTGTGAAGGGAATGAATGTGGAAAAGACATCAGCCCAAACAGTCCCCTTGTTCAACACAAAAGAACTGGAATCTGTATGTATGCAGAAAGTGGGGAGTCATTTAATCATGGTACGGCTCTTACGACACACGCCACAATTAATACGGTGGGGAAACCCTATGAATGTTACCACTGCGGGAAAATGTTTAATCGGAGGCATTCCCTGAGTGAACATCAGAGAATACATACAGGAGAGAGACCATATGAATGTCAGGAATGTGGGAGAGCCTTTACGCACAGCTCAACCCTCACACGACACTTGAGAACTCATACTGGAGAGAAGCCCTACACGTGCGGTGACTGTGGGAAAGCCTTCAACAGGATTTCATCTCTTACCCAGCACCGGAGGATTCACACAGGGGAAAAGCCCTATAAATGCAAAGACTGTGGAAAATCCTTCTGCCAGAGTTCTTACCTGATCTTGCACAGGAGAACACATACTGGTGAGAAGCCCTACGAATGTAATGAATGTGGAAAGGCCTTCAGTGATCGCTCCTCACTTAACCAACACGAGCGAACTCACACTGGTGAGAACCCCTATGAATGTAATCAGTGTGGAAGAGCCTTCAGCCAGAGGTCTTCCCTCGTTAGGCATGAGAGAACTCACACTGGAGAGAAACCGTATAGCTGTAATGAATGTGGGAAAGCATTCAGCCAGAGCTCATCCCTCATCACCCATCAGAAAACTCACACTAGTCAGAAAACCTATAAAATAATTGATTGTGGGAAAGCTTTCTATCAGAGCAGCTACCTTATTGGATTTTAGATATTATTGTTGCTCTGCAAAGTAACTTTTAGCACTCTACTACTTAAGTGTGGATAGGTTTTGCCCTTCTGATGTACTATTTGAAAAGAAGTAGGTGTATGCCACATTCTTGAAGAAAAACACTGAGGTCCAGATCTGAGAAGGGACCTTTTTAATGGGGAGAATTGCCATTGAGCTATGCCCAATGCCTGTCCATTTGGAAGAGATTAATAAATGTGAACACTAACATGCAGTGGGATTTTGCTAAGAATTGTCACATTAATTTAGTTGTTGAAACAAAAGGTATTCTGTTTCAACCTTTTGTTTGAAAATTCAGTATTATTGTTTCAATAATCGGTTTCAATATTTTACATAGTCATTTTGCCCCTGTTGGTCACTTAGCTAGGTCCTAACTTGTTTCTTGCCCTGCCATGGCAATGCAGAATGTATGTTAACACAGAAGGAGCTTTGGGTGCAAAGTGGAAAATAAAGAGTGCAAAATAGTATGTGTGATTCTATCCAGTGAAGCCAAAATATGTACATAAGTGGACAAAGGCCGGACAGAGATGTGGAGGAATGAACGGAGTTTATTTGTCAGAGTTTTCTGATTATGTGTGATTGTCTGCCTTTTGCCATTTTGTTTGGTATTGCCAAACAATTTGCTATTTTTTTCAGTATTTGCCATTTTGTATTGGTAATCAGTAGAAATCGGACAATGCCAAGGGATATATCCAGTTTCTTTGAATAGTCAGGGAGGACTGTGGATGCCATGATGGGAAGGATATAATGCAGTAGGTCAGCAAAGCAGCCTTTGATGGCCTGGGAGAAGTCCCAACTGTGAGGTGGACTTGGCAGAGCAGAGACCACGAGCTCTGATGTGCATCATCACCATCAACGTCAACATTTACTGGTTGCTTGCTCTATTTCCAGCATCACTCTGGCTCTTATATGCAGTTCCTCGTTTAATCGGAACAACCCCATGAGATGGTAGCTGTTCACATCTCTGTATGACAGAAGGGGAAACAGAAATAAGGTAACTTGTCCAAAGTCAGACGACTAGAAAGTGGCAGAGCCAGGATTTGAACTTGAACAACCTGTTCAAGGGGAGCTGTGTTTTCTAAATTCTCCTTGGAAGCCATCTGACTTTCATCTGAATCTTTCCCTCTCTCTGGAGCTGATGAGGATGATTGCCTGTCAGATCTTTCAACTAAGTGGCACCTGATCACATCGGTGTTGTTGCCTTTCTCCAAAGTAGAGATCCCTCATCTGGAGTCTGTGTAGACCTTACTGGGCTGATGGATGTTTCTTGAAGGGCTCTGTGAACAATCTTGAGTTGGATGCAGAATATGTGCTGGGGCATAATGTGTTATCTGGGGCAGTGTCTGTAGCTTTCATCCCATTCTGAGGACTAGCTGACATAGGGGTGTCACGGATGCACTGTTTTTCATTTCACAGGGAGCCTGGTTCATTGTGTAGCCAGACCCATGATGGAGTGAGGGGCCGGGATAGACATTAAACAGCTAACTACATACTTTAATTAAATAATTACAGATTTTGGTAGTGCTCTTGGGGACTTAAACAGGATGCTGCTGTGATAGATAATATGAGAGGGACCAACCTCAGGGCCTTTCTGAGAACCTGATATTTGATTTGAGATGTGAGTCACTGGAGCCTCCAAGGTGAGGAATTTAACCAGAGGAGACCTTCAGTTTAGCTTTGTTTTCACATATTTAAAAAAAATATATATATTTACAAGGGTGTCTGGCTGGCTTGTCGGTAGAGCGTGTGACTCTTGATCTCAGGGTTGTGAGTTCAAGCCCCACGTTGGGCATGGAGCCTACTTAAAAAAATATTTACAATGTTTGTTTTGATTTCTCTGACTCAAAAGTATTTTGAGAGAGAGTATATATTTTTTTTAAACTTTCGGGCGTTTAAATACCCTTCTCCCTCTCTTTAAAAACAAATTATTTTTCTTGTCTGATTGCACTGGCTCAATCCTTCAGTACAGTGCTGAACAGGAGTGTTGAGAACAGACCTCCTTGCTTTGTTCCAGATTGTAGGGAAAAGCATTCAGTCTTTCACCATAGAGTATGATGTTTTCTGCAGGCTTTCTGTAGATTCCATCATCTTTATTCAGTTTCTGCTTTCATTTTGTTGTGGTCTGAGAATGTGTCTACTGTCTTGAATCATTGAGACATGTTGAGTTTCCCTGTGTGATGTACTATCTGATTGAGTTTTAGAGGTGTTCTCTAGATATCGAGGAGAAGCTGTATTCTCTGTTTTTATGCTTTGGAATCGGGCTTGTCTGTTAAATCAATCTTACTAATCATTGGCTCTCAAATTTCGTGTCAGGAGTTTGAGATTTGACAAGTGAGAGTTGGTGCTCAGTAATGTGCATTTTTAATAAGCACGCCAGGCGATTTCACGGATGCTCCTTCTCTTTCAGTTACACTTTGAGAACCATAGCTGGTCCTTAACTGTACTTAGATCGTTGATTCAAAGATAATTAGCTCAAAAGGATTAAGTTACAGTTTCCTACTGCTCTTGTGCTTACTTCCCCTCTGTATTTTCTGTTGTTTTCACTTCTTTTTCTGTTGTTTTGGTTTTTTATTTTTTTATTTGGTGTAAATAATTCGTGACAGGTCTTCATTGTGAATTATGCCCTTTATCATTTTGAAGTGACTCTCTTTGCTTTAATTAATAGTACCACCTCTGCTTTTTCAACAAAACAAGTTTGTTTATTTTTGGTATAATTTTTCACCTCCTTTGAAGTTCAGCTTTTTAAGTTCCTCGTGTCTCTCATCTTTAGTACATGGTTGGTTTTTGTTTTAGGATTCAAAGCAGAAAATCTATTTGTTTTTAAAGGACACATTTATGCCAATTATTGCTGTGATAAATGTTGTTGGCTTTAATTCTAATGTACTTTATGTCACTTACTTTTGAAGCTTCTTTTATTTTCTGACTTCTCTATTGATGGTATTGGTGGAATGTATTTCTTTTCTGGTAATTTGGAAGGTGTATTTCCTGCTTCGGTGTCTTTTAGTATTTTATTTTATTACATTAAACATTACAATGAAACCTATATTGTGACTTACCAGTATTCAGCAGCCTTTGTAGGATAAAAAGGTCAAGTTGCAGAGTGTGTATAATATAAAATGCACTTTAAAAATTTTTTGAAAGTAGAGAAAATAATGTTATATATAGTGTTTGGATTCAAGTGTATGTCATGGCAATAATAAACACCAAATTTGTGACTGTGGTTTCCTCTGGGAGGAGGTGGAAGGGATTTGGGGATCCTGGAGGTGATACACAGGGCATTTCAATTCTGTCTGTAATGTTTTCTTTCTTTCAAGAAATCTGATGGAGTATGGTAAACTGATAGGATTTAATACAGCTTAGCAGTAGATACATGAGTGTTCAGAAAGTTACTGCATGTTCTGTATGGTTGAAATGTTGCATAACAGTTTTAAAGTGCTTCCCTTCTCTCTGTGTTGTGATTCTCATTAATCCATGCTCTTAGGAGGAATGCAAAAAACCAGCCCTCCTAACGTTTCACAAATGGATGCTTATGGGTAAAATTTCTCATCAGAATATCATCTAAAAAGTGCTACATTTCAGGGACGCCTGGGTGGCTCAGTTCATTAAGCGCCTGCCTTCAGCTCAGATCACGATCCTAGAGTCCTGGGATCGAGCCTCACATCGGGCTCCCTGCTCACTGGGGAGCCTCCTTCTCCCTCTGCCACTCCCCCTGCTTGTGCGTGCTCTGTCTCTCTGACAAATAAATAAATACAATCTTGGGAAAAAAAGTGCTACATTTCAAACACAAAGACGCTGTTCTCTGAAAAATTGTCAGATCACTCCAAGAGGGACGGTTGTAGGAGCAGGATCAGGTTGAAGGAGCACCTGGAAAGTTGAGAATTTTCTCAGGAAAAATGAGATTGGGAAGAGGCCTTCTATGTGCCATGACCGGAGCCATTTTCCTCTGCTTCAGACCCACTATGTGAGCTTCCTGTCACTGCTGTAACAAATCAGCACACATTTAGTGACTTAAAACAACCAATTTCTTACAACAGTTCTGGAGGTCAGAAGTCTAAAACCAAGGTGTTGGTGAAGCTGTGTTCTTTTTGGAGAGCCTAAGAGAGAATCTGTTCCCTTACCTTTTCTGGTTTCTAGAAGCCACCCAAATTCCTTGGCCCCACCATCCCCCCCTCCATCCTCACCACCAGCAGCTCAGGGTCTGCCCATCTCTGGGACTCCCACCCTCTGCCTCCCCCTCCTGAGGGCCTCGTGAGGATGCCAGGCCCCCGGGAACCCAGGGTCACCCCCACCTCGGGACCTTAATCACCTCTGCAAAGTCCCTTTTGCCACATGAGATGACATACTTCAGTTCTGGTGATTAGGGCGTGTGCTATTATGCTGCTGGCCACACCTTTCCTACTTTGCTTTATGACCTGGGGTTGAAGTGGGGTAGAAATGCTGCAAACCACGTCTACTGTGTAGACTCCCCCAGTACTAGAAACTGCTAACTGAAGAGGTTGCTGGGAGGATGGAGGCTGCAGGAGGGAGATGGGGTCTCGCCCCTTCCTGTCCCTGTCACTGCTTGCACGTTTCAGACTGTCTTTGTTACCTCCATTTGTGAATCACATCCTAAATACCTTGACTCACACTTCTTTTCCCTCAGGTTACTACAGTTTTACCTTTTTCTCTGGTTGCAGTGAATGTTTTGTGGAGAATTTACAGACCAGTCTCATTTTTCACCTTAATAAATGAGATGACATGTCCTCTATTATTTTTTTAAGATTTCATTTATTTATTTGACAGAGAGAGAGCACAAGCAGGGGGAGTGGCAGGCAAAGGCAGAGGGAGAAGCAGGCTTCCCGTGGAGCAGGGAGCCCGATGCGGGGCTCGATCCAAGGACCCTGGGATCATGACCTGAGCTGCAGGCAGATGCTTAACCGACTGAGCCACCCAGGTGCCCCTGACATGTCCTTTACTAGTGATGCTTATAGGATATTTATCTG